GAGGTCCTTGGACGTGCCGCTGGCGGCCTCGCGCACGGCCGCGCTCGTGGACTCGGTGCTGGCTATCGTGAGCAGGCAGCAGAACGTCATGCGTGAGGTGCTCGAGGTTGTATCCATCACGCTCGATGCCGCAAGATGACGCGCGCTCTCCGAACGCAACGCGGCGCGCGCGCACCGCCTACTGCGGCGTGGCTTGTCGTCGTGCTGACCATTTGGAATTTGCACTGGGTTTGGTATCCGGAAATGTTCCGGATACCTTGAAACGACGCAACGAGTTCGATCCCATCGTCCGCACGCTTCGCACAGGCTCGAAGTTGTCGCTGTCGGCGTTTGTCTCGGCACATCGACCTCATACCTCACAGTGCGCTAACGTGGAAGCCATGGCCTTTCTACCGCTACGACGCCGATGGCTGCGACCAGCGCTGCATCGACGCCAGCAGCTACGACCCAACACTGGATTGACACGCGAGCCTCTTTCGCGTCTGTGTACGCTGTACACCTGCGTCAAGCGACCTGCATCAAGGTACAAGCACTGACGCTCAATGGCTGCGACGCTGCTCAAAATGGTGCTCGTACCACTAATCGTGCTTGGTGAGGCATCGGTCCTCGACGAGAAGCATTCGCACGCTGCATGAAGACGCAGCGATCTTTGCAAGCGCTTGGCTGGTGAGCCAATGTCCTGCATTGAAGAAATGCGTGACGAAAGAAGGTCCTCGGCCACAGGAGTTTCACCGTCCACAGTCGACGGGACGCCCGCTGGCGACCGCCCTGCCGTGCGACCGAGGTAATTGCAGATTGAGCACCCCTCAAGGGTTTTCCAATTGTCGCGTAAAAGCACTGCGTTTCGCCATTGTCGAACTTGTTTTTACACTTGTTTTTACACGACTGAACGTTTGCTCGAAAATGGGACCTTCTCCGAGTGCCACATCATGGAAATCGAGAGTTTCCACATATTGTGAATATCACATCTCTGGCATACGAGGACGCATTAAAGCATGGTACATGTTTTACACAAGTGACAATAGACGACATCAAATCGTCGTCATTGTGGAAAAGGAGCTCACGTCTGACCATTGTGTGCTCCAAGCATCTCGTCCCAATCCCTCCACAGGATATGATGGCTTTGGAAGCATTTGCTTTGGACGTAGTAACTCCACGAATGTTGCTATGAATCGCATTTCGGATCGCGTGGAAGGGGAGATCGTCGCTACTACAAGTGTAGGAGACGAAAACTACGACCTGCCAACGTGGTCATTTGCTTCTTAACGTTTTAAGGGCGCTTGGTATCTTAAGTCAAGCACTGCGCGCGTTGTAGGACGGCAGCGGCAACGCAGCGCTACTTGGTCTGCTCCTCAAAGTGGCTTCTATCACTGTGCAAATTATGGGCGATTCCATTTTAAACATGACGTTGTCGACAAGCGGCGCCGGCGTCCTGCAGTGGTGCCTCTAAGATGGCACTAGGATCTTGGTTGGTGCACGTTGTGCTTCTCAGATGGCACTACGATCTTAGTTGAAAGTGCATCTCCGATCGTGTCTCGCTGCCACTGTGCGCCTCGCTCGTCGACGCGACCTCGCATTCCGTACTCTCCAAAGCGCCCTTTACCAACTACCAATGTTTCGATGTGCACCCGAGAAACTGCGACCGGGTATGTCCACGCAGATGTTGCATAACAAGTGCAGCTACTATAATAGACGAAAAGGATGGAGTATTACGTCTAGATATATAATCCACACAACATGCAATCGAGAGACAGTAGAAAGAAGTAAGTGTAGAGATCGGGGATACCGAGCCACGCGGGGCGCGACGAAAGCTTGACCAACGAGTCGATCACAAGGCGTTGACATATAGTATACGCTCGGACGAGCGGTTCGAAGCCCTTGAGCAGCGCAAGCACTGTTGGCCAAGAAGCCATTTGACAATTGACCGTGACGCAGCCTACGCGAGCGTCTTGTACTGGGAGCTTCGCTTGTAGCCACCTACAGCAGAGAGCGGATCGTATGCAACGTTGGGCAAAATATCCGCAGCGGGCGAAAGGCTCGTGGCGGGCGGAATGTTGTCGCTGCACCGCCACCGGTCTCGGTGCTGGCTGCCGTATGCCAGCAGCAGAACGTCGTGTGTGAAGTGCTTGAGGTCGGAAGCATCGGGCTTGATGCCGCGAGATGGCGCGCGCTCTCCGAACACGACGCGGCGCTCGCGCAGCTCCTTCTAGTGCTGGCGCCGACGTTGTCGTGGCTGGTCGCCGTGTCGACCATTTTGGAATCGCTCTTTGTTTTGGTATCCGGAACGTGTCCGGATACGCCTCAGCGGGACAAGGCTCGCACTTCCTCGCACAACTCGAGGTGCTCGAGGTTGTCGCTGTCGGCGTTTGTCTCGACTACACAACGCACAGCGCCACGATACCCAACGTCAAAGCAATTGTCTTTGCTACTGCTACGGTGCAGATGGCTACGAGCAGCTAGCTGAACGTGCACAATACAAGTAGGCTTCGCGAGCTTCTTCTGGACACCTTCTGTACAACTACGCCAAGGCAATCGCGCCGGCGCTCTATAGCTACAACGCTGCTCATAACGTTGCTGGTACCACCGGGCATGCTTGGCGTGGCATTGGGCCTCGATGACGTAGAACTCACATGCTGCATAAGACCGCAGCGGTCCTCATCATTGAGAAGCGTATCCCTGGTGAGTCAATGTCCTGCATTACCGCTACAGAGATAGGTGACAGAAGAAGGACCTCGGCCAAACGAGTTTCAACGTCCACAGGACGCTCGCCGGCGGATCGACGAAAATAAAGTTTCAAAATGAAATCGCCCATACTTGCCAGAGTGATAGACCACACTTTGGGAAGTCCAAAATGATATGTGACGTCGCCGTGCGAGCTCTGTAGCGAGAGCAAATGACAGCGGCAACCAATATTTTGATATAGTGTGCATTTTCGCTATACCGATATACTGTATAATGTACCTTCCCCTAATATTTTGCATCTGCGTATATAAATGTGTATAATTGTATGAGAGGAGAATACGGCTAGGTCTTGTATATTATACAGGTATACAAAGCGCAAGCTATTTATTTGAAAACGCTGTTTGTATTGATCCAGGATCATCAGCTTGAAGTGGAACTTGAGCGAATCTCGGCTTCTGATTGGCTGACAGGTGTGACATTTAGACAGGGCATGAACCGGCAAACCATGCCGTTGAGGGCCTGAGCTTCCAGAGCGCAGCGCAAAAGGGGCCCCGACGAATGTCAGCCATCGATGGCGTTGCACCAATGCGCGAAGACCACGCGGGTGAGCCAAAGAAGTGCGATGCCGGGCGAACTTGAGAGAGCACGGAAACTCTACGTGTACGAATCGAGGCGACATGTGCCGCTGGTAAGACAACTCTACTACAATGTACTAGTAGTATCTAACGGCGTTTGCATGTGGAGTCGTTGTAGATTTAGTTCTTGAGGGGGAATCTCAGTCAAGCGTTGAGACGTAGCGCGTGGAGAGAAGAAATACGCATTAGGGCGAGTGGGCTTGAATGTACACGAAGGCAAAGCGCATAAGCGGGCATGCATCGCACCTTGTATGGTTTTGACATTGACACAGGTGACGAGGTGTGCCAGCAATGTGGAAACCCTTCTCGAATACTCATCGACAAGACTACGCAGCGACCGACATGCAACAATCGCGCCGAGTCCAAAGCCGTGGTGGGCTAGGCGGTTGAGGTATTTGGATATTATTATGTCTGGGGCTCCGCACCGCGACCTCCAGTCGTTGACGCCGCCTCAGTCGCCGGCTTCTCTCGAGGACCTCAAACACTGAGTAGCTCTGCCGCCGTCGGCACAGCCTGGAAGGCCTTTACACAGCGAGTAGTCATGGGCCTCACCCGCGACCACAAGCGCCCCCGGACGACCACAGACCAGCAAGACGAGCCTCCGCGCCGCCACCTGCGCAGTCACGGGCAGAGAGCGAACGACGATGAAGAAGATTGCTAGTCTCTACGACCTCTTTGTAGCAACGAAGATAACGAGAAGCACCTTCATAAATATTATGTCTGGGGCTACATGTACGGCACACTGCGGTACGCGCATTACGTGTACCTCATGCATTTTAGTTAATGCGTTGCTGCATCGCTGGGCACTTGCTGGAAACAATACCGCGCCCGCCGCGGCGCGGCGTACAACGAGCCCGACAGCGTGAGTGAATGTGAGTGAATGTGAAATGGCTGTACGGCAGAGATTTCAGCGGCATACCGAATCAATACAACCGCGGCTTACAACCAGCTTACAACATGCGTTTGCGGACTAACCTTCGAGTTTGTGTGGGTTTGGGTCTAGTGCGCCAAAAAGCAGTGACTCGTATCACTTTCAGGCCTCGGTCCCTCTTTTAGGGATGCGAACAGAGAGCAGGGATACTAGTCCAGGCGGCCTCATGTTCCTCATTTTGAGCGTTGCTTCTCTCACGTTGTACTCCTCCACGTGCCACCTTGTTTTGAATGTTGCTGCTGTTAACAAGTTGTACTCATGACATCGGGAAGATGCAATAATTAGTCTAGCTAGTTCGCCGGCACTCGATGGCGTGGTTCAACGCGCTCTAGATAGGTAAGCAGTGCCGGGCGGATCGGGCTCACATCAATACCGGTACGCGCATGGCTGAGCGCGGCGTCACCACTGCATAAGTAAGGACTACGTCTCTGGTCTTGTCGAGCGCGTGCGCAAATGCAAAATGGTGAGCGCGTTGTGTATCCACGTATTTCGAAAGCGCTGCCCACCATTCAATGTATGCATTGGTAGAGTTTCCTGAGTCCGTATTATATACGTATTTGTTATCGGAGGTACCCATTTATGGAGGCAAAAACATTTGGCTCTTGTGTGAGTGTTTGCATTTTAGCGACACAGAATCGCAGAGCTAGCGCATGGTGCACACGTCGTGGCGATTCCTCTATCGAGAACTCGGATCCACGGCTTCGCCGGTTTCATTTGGCCTGCATTTCGATCACGATGACTTTGACGACGTCATGAAGGACGCGACAGAAGGTCTCGCAGTCACGAAAGTCGTCGAGGGGTCCGCCGCGCACTGTGCCAACATCAAGGCCGGTGACGTCATCGAATCCGTCTCCTGGAACTTCACTTACCGAGCGTCGCCAAACCACCCGTTCGATAGATCTCTCGCCGCTGAGATCACCAAGAAGGAGAGCGAAGTGCGCAGCAACTTTGCCCGATGCAACCACATGGCCATTATCGTCTTTGTCGCTGCGTCTCGAGCCACGAAGGCCGAAATGTGGTACCAGGCGCTGCGGGGTCGTGCGTCGGGAAACATCAAGAAGCTCAAGATGCTGCCACCCGCAAGTGAGACGCTCGTCCATGGCATGCTTGCGGCGTACAAGAGGTGGGACTTCAAACACAACGTCGCTACCATCGAGCAAGCTTACCTCCTCACACCCGAGGGAAAAGAATGGCAAAGACGACAGGTCACAGCTCGAGAACATCCCGATGGGCCCCAACCAGCCAAACGCCGCCGCCTCAGGAACATGACTATGCGACAACCTCAGCAACCACAGGAGATCGACCAACAAGAAGACGACAAGGCAGACGCTGACGACGTGCAAGACGACGACGATCAAGACGACGATCAAGACGACGATCAAGACAACGATCCAGACGACGATCAAGACAACGATCAAGACGACGATCAAGACGACGAGCCAGAAGACGACGAGCCAGAAGACGACGAGCCAGAAGACGACGATCAAGACGATGAGCCAGAAGACGACGAGCCAGAAGACGACGAGCCAGAAGACGACGAGCCAGAAGACGACGAGCCAGCAGACGACGAGCAAGATGACGAGCAAGATGACGAGCAAGACGACGAGCAGGACGACGAGCAAGACGCGGGAGTCATCAAGCGACTCAATCGATCGGTGGCTAATAGGGTCCTAAAGTTCTTGACCCTTGGTTAGCGCATTACATTAACTAATCAAATCCTGGTAACATGATGTATACTTGATAATACGTCATGTTGACGGCGTCACAAGCTACCCGGCGAAAAATTTCTTACTGAAGTAGCCCGCTCATGACACAAGGTCGCTCGCTCTTGACTTCTAGTCGCTCACTCCTTACTCACAGTCGGTCACTCTCTACTTTTAAACGTTAACTCGCCACCTAGAATTAAGAAGCGCCGTTACCGACATATTGGTAGCTCGCGAACTCGGTACATGTATCTCTGAACCGATATAGCTTTGTAGAGGTACCGCGTTCTAGGACAATTTAGTGTGTCGGTACCGACATGTGGACACATCGGGAGCGACTCGGTGAGATATCGGTACCGTATCCAATAACATCGGGAACGCGCTGTGTCATGTCGGTAACGCTGTGGAGGACTTCTGGTGCAGTAGCTTGTGCTCTTTCAACGTGTGTGCGCCTCGAAAAGACTGGTGTCTGTAGCGTTGACTTGGTAGGATAGTTTGGATTTACGAAGTTGGTACCTAGAGGCTCGACGCGCTCATTTCGATATCGCGATACAAGGCCTCATCTCGCAGCGGTATCACGCGCACTTTGCCTCCCTCGGCCACATGCAGCACGTTCTGTATCATGAACAAAAAGAGATGGCGTCCTCTGTTTCCGCGACCTCGATGCATTTTCAACCGAAATTACATGTCG